ACTGATCGAACAGAATGCAATTCACGTTAATCTGCCGGCTTCGATGAACAAATCTTAGTGAGATGGGCTAGCATCAAGACCGGGCGTTGAGCGGCAGGAGGGGAGAGAGAGAGGAGGTACCTGTGGTCAATAGGTAAAAAGGTAGGAGAGTGCGGTACCTGCAATGTCCTTGCCTTGGGCAGATGGATGGCGTCTCCCCCTCCCTCATCCTCCTTCTCCTCCTCCTCCCCCCCTTCCCCTTCTTGTCTTATCACACGCCCCCCTCGTTTCCCCCTTAAACACCCCCCCCCCCCCCCCCCCCGGTGCCAGTCTCTCTCACTCACTCACTCTCTCACTTCCCGCCCAGTTGCATCCATCCAGTCGCTGTAAGTACCTTCTTCCCTGGCCAGTCTCTGTGCCCTCGCTCGCCCATCCGCTGCCACCACACACTCTGCCTTCGTCCCCGTCGTCGTCCTCCTCCTCTCTTACCAGGTTCACTCCCCATCAGCAGCAACAACCTGGACTGGTCCCAACCTAACCTGACCACCACCACTACCACCATCCACCCTCCACCACCACACACGCCTCCACATCCACTTCTCTTCTTCCACTCCGGATACCTTGCCCATATCCACATTCGCACACACACGCCCACGCCCACGCGCTGCGACCTTGCCTTAGTACTGCCGCTGTCGCTGTCTGCCGCTGCCGCTTGTCGGGTCCTGTCCTGTCTGTCTGTCGTCTGTCTGTCTGCTTGTCCCTCGTCCTCCTCCTGGTCTAGCTGCTCCTACCCTACCTAGTACCTGTGGCCTGTCCCTCTCTCTCGCTCCATCTCTCTCACGCTCGACCTATTTTCCCCTTCCTCCCTTCCTCACCCCGTCCAAAATCATTAAACCCCCAGACCATCCTCCCATTCCCAAAAGTCTTCCGATATCTCTTTTTACAAGACTCTTCTCTTCTTCCCATCTCTCTTTTCTATTCTCTCCACTTCCCTCCCCCTTCTTCCCTTTCTCCTCGTCGGAGCCGCACATACCTCCCACCCCCCGTTACGGATTGAGCTTTCTCTTTCCCATCTCATCAGGACTGACCACCCCCGAGGCACATCATCCCTCCCGCCGACACATCAGACACTGCTTGTCGCACGCTGTCTATCATCATCGCGAATCGACAAAAACCACAAACTAGTCGCATCAGTCGCCTACAGTTCCTGCGGGGTCCTCTTCGTCGAGCTTTTCACCAATTCTTGTTTTGCCATTGACGCATCCACCATCCTCAACTCGACCCTTAATTCATTCGATCCCGTGTTTCCACTACGAGACCCGAGGACGATACCCAATCAACCCGCCCATATCGACATTAAGCCGCAGCAGCCTTGACGGTCACCGCCTGTGTCGAATTCCCCCCTCCCATCATTCGCTTGAGGTCGAGTTTGGGTCGTGCTGGTCAACAGTGTGCCAAAAGTTATTTCCTCCGGGCTGGACTCGATTTACGTCTCTAAAACCAACAACATCAAAAATCTCCACGGCAGCGCCTCAACTAAAGCGAATATCGCTCAAAATCTCACAACATTTCTTTGACTGTCATCATTGACGCGATCTTGCCGACTCGAAAACAACCCGCGCGGTCTCGCTCTCGATCCGGTCAGACGCGACCGACATTCGTCGTCAATCACCACCACATCACATCCTCAAATCACTGACAGGATGTATTCACAACATGCCGCCGCGGGCATGGCCCCCCAAAAACCAGAGACCTTCATGCTGAGCACTGAGGCCCAGCAGGCTCTCCCCCACGATGCTCAGGTCGCCCTCCAGCAGGTTGACAACCGTGAGTTGCGATTGAGTGGCGGACTCCGACGTTTTTGCTGACAACCTTCTAGTCAAGTACTTCCTCATTTCTGCTCCCGTTGATTGGCAACCGGATCAGTACATCCGCAGATTCCTTCTCCCCACGGGCGAATACGTCTCCTGCGTGCTATGGAACAACCTTTTCCACATCTCCGGCACTGACATCGTCAGGTGTCTGTCTTTCAGATTCCAGGCTTTCGGCCGTCCAGTCAAGAACTCCAAGAAGTTCGAGGAGGGTATCTTTTCCGACCTGAGAAATCTGAAGTCCGGAACCGACGCCTCCCTTGAGGAGCCCAAGAGCCCCTTCCTCGACTTCCTGTACAAGAACAACTGCATCCGAACGCAGAAGAAGCAGAAGGTCTTCTACTGGTACAGCGTCCCCCACGACCGCCTGTTCCTCGACGCCCTGGAGCGCGATCTGAAGCGCGAGAAGATGGGTCAAGAAGCCACCACTGTCGCCGTCAGCGAGCCCGCCCTGTCCTTCCAGTACGACTCGTCTCAGTCGCTGTACGAGCAGCTCACCAAGGCCCAGCAGGCCAACTCTTCTTCCTTCAACGCCCAGCAGGTGACTTTCTCCCAGTCCCAGTCCACTTCTCCCGTCATGAGAGCCATGGACTCAATGCCTCCCCCGCAGATGATCCCCCAATCGGTGGCCCCTTTAGCGGATGGCATGGAGGCGATGGTTCCCTACGGAGCGATGGGAATGCACCAGCAGATGCCTCCTCAGCAGATGGTCAAGAGGGAGCCTGATTTCGCCCGCGTCCAGTACAACCAGAACGGCGTTCCCATCACTCAAGGCCACCAGAGGCACGCCTCCATGCCCGCCTACGGTCTCGAGTACTCGCCCGCTCCTTCCTTCGTCTCCTCCCAATACGAGGACTACAGCAACCGGGGCATCTCCTTCGAGCCCATCACCCCGCCCCAGCAGGCTCTCGGCATGGCCGCCGAGCCCGCCTACATCGCCAACGAGGAGACCGGCCTCTACACCGCGATCCCCGACCACATGGGCGGTGGCGTCAACGGCCTCAACGGCATGATCCAGCTCCCCCCCTCCAACCTCGCCGGTCCTCAGTTCTCCAGGGCCTACGGCACTAACAACGTCTACTCTGTGATTGAGGGCTCCCCGACCTACAAGCAGAGGAGACGCCGTTCTTCCATCCCGCCGTCAATGTCCGCCATTGCCGCTGCAACCGCCCAGGCCCAGGCGCAGGCTGCCGCTCAGCAGCAACAGCAGCAGCAGCAGCACAGACCCTCGGATCTCCGGCGGTCAGTCTCTGCATCTGTCGGCCCTGTCGCTGAAGGCGACGAGTCTGCAGACAACTCCCCTCCCGGCCTTGCCTACAGCAGCTCCGCCATGTCCATGGTAAGCCAGCAGCACAAGGAGATGCTGGAAATGTCCCGACACGGCACCCCGCTGTCCACTGTCGAAGGCAGCCCAGCACTCAACCCCATGTCCCTTCAGCAGCAAGACTTCTCCCACCTCACCAATGACGACTTGTCCGGTGATGGTTCTATGAACGGCGCGTCGCGGCCCGGCATGCAGGGCCCGAACGGCGTCGTTCGCAGAGCCCGCTCCGCGACTGTCATGGAACTTGGACCCTACCCCCAAAAGTCCCACTCCTGCCCCATCCCCACGTGTGGCCGCCTCTTCAAGCGTCTCGAGCACCTCAAGCGGTAAGAACCAGATCTCATTTTCATTTGTCACCAACCATAAAACGACCTGCCTGAAATCTAACCAAAACCTCCAGACACGTGAGAACACATACACAAGAAAGACCCTACATCTGCCCTTATTGTAGCAAGGCATTCTCCAGATCAGACAACCTAGCACAGTATGCCCCAACTTTCCTTGATATCATTTCCTTTGTCATTTCCTTTGTCAGAAGAAGATGTAGAGTGTGGAGCGAGACCCCAAGCGATCAAAACCAACGTCCAACCGCCACGACACAACACAACACTACACATCATCGCAGCCACCAACATGGGGGGACAAGAAACTTTTTCTTAGCAGGACTTGGACTGACCCGAATGCTTCTACAGACACAAGCGTACTCATGATCGTGGCGAGAACGGCGAGGCCGCCCTCAACTTCTCCGGCGAGGAGGAGGAAGAGTACTCTGGCGAGGACCAGCTCGGCTCTCTTGAGGAGGCCTCTCCCAGCTCCGAGAACGCCTACGTTACGGCCTCCATGAACGGCGCCGTCAACAGCTCGTCAACGCCCACGTCTGCCGGCATGGCACCGGCCCCGACGTTCAACAGCCTGCAGACGCTCAGCATGCCAATGACCATCAGCCAACCGGCAGTCAACGCGAGCGCTATCATGTGAGACGGCAACTGAGCTTTAGCTCTCATTACGACTGGAGTTACGTTTCTTCACGGTGTTCTTTAGAGTGGGCGGCATGGCTATGACAAACGGTTCGGAAACGGTCTGGGACTTTTCATTTTTTCTTCATTTATCCAACCATGGATTTTCGGCACGCGTTAGCGACTGGACACTTGCTCCTTTGGCTCCGGGCGATTTTTTTTTTTCTTTCCTCATCGTTTGTTGTTTTCAAGTGTTCAGCATCATCGTCTGGCCTCCGGTGCCAGGCGAAAACCAAAAAGGAAACCCGCACACATAGATGCGCACCGAGAGACTGGGAAGATCTCGAGGAGCGTTTTGTTGTTGTTGTTGTACCCATGGAAAAGAGAGTTTCATGCATGAGCTTAGGGTCGCGATGCGAAGAAGAGAAACGACTCGCACATGTATATATAGTTTGTTTCTTTTCCTTTGTGCTGGAGAGGCATGTTTGAGAAGAAGCAAGCTTGCCTGTATGGCCAGATGATACCAGGGTTAGGAGGAGAGAACTGTGTCGGCGACTCTATGAGTTCCGGACAGGCATGTCACGATCAGAAGCAGAGTCTTGAATGCTGATATATGTTGATCACACTGATTTGTCCCATGTGACGTTTGATTATGCCGTGAATGATGCATGTGATCCAGAGACTCTTAACATGCCCCCGTCAGTCCTAATGTGAACACTGGATGCGTTCAACCATGTCTAATAGGGATATCACAGAGATACTTGTAACAGATAGTCGACATTGATATCTAATGCAATCATCTCCGACCACCCCTTCCACCCCTTCCGCCTCGTCCACCTCTCATACCACCACCACTACCCTCGATACTCCTCACGTCCCTCTCGCTCAACGTCAACTGCGCGCCCCTCATACGTCCCACAGAAGGCCCGCCAACGCTCCTCTCTCCCCTGCCGCCGCCGCTCTTCTTCTTGGGCGCGGGCGCCTCCCTCTCCAGCACGACGCCATTCTCCTTTGCCTGCCTCCTGCGCGTGGTCTCGCGCTGCGCGGCCTTGGCGACGATGCCCTTGCGCTGGGCCATGGGCATCTTGTCCTGCTTGAAGAGGGAGGCGACGCCGGGGGCGAGGGATTGCATGCGCATGTCGAGCTGGCGCTGGCGGAGTTTCCCGGCCGCGAAGGATTTGGGCTCGGAGGAGGTGGAGGAGGAAGTGCTGTGTTTGGCGAGGAGGTGGGATTCGGAGAGGAGGCGTTGGAGGGCGAGGTCGTTTGCGAGCATCGACTTGTCGTTTTCGTCGTCTTCGTCGGCGGGGGTTTCGGAGGCGGGTGTTGTTGGGTTCGGGTCGGTTTGGGAGGGAGGTTTGGAGGACTAAGTGGTTGAGTTAGCTGGGGGATGGAAAGGAGGGAGGTGGGTAGGGTAGCGTACCATGAAGGCTTTGAGCTCGCGTTTCGACATGCTCGGCGCCGGGAGGGGTTTGGACGAGCTGTGGTCCACCACCTCAACCACATTCTCTCCCTCGTCGTCGTCTTCCTCGTCTTCTGTGAGAATGTCAGCGCCCCGGCCTCACCTTTGCGGTTCAGGAATTTCGTTGACATACCATCAGACACACCGCCCCATCCATCCTCGTCGTCAACCCCGACATCCTCATCCAAATCCTCCTCTTCCTCGTCATCATCATCATCATCATCCTCGCTCTCCTCAGCCATCGCCGCCGCCCTGCCCTTCTTCGCCTTGCGCTTCGCTCCCGCTGTCCCGGGCAGCGGCGCAAACGCAGCCTCGAAGTGCCGTCTGAAAATTTCTTGCGCGTCCATCGTCGCCTCGTCCTCTTGCGCCTCGGCCTCTGGTTTCCGGCTCGTTTGCGGCTTTACCGCGCCTGACGTCTTGCGCTTTTTTGTCGTTGCCGCCGCCGCCTTGGAAGCGGAACTACTGCTCTTCTTCGTCGCCGTCGCGGGAGCGGGTTTCTTAGAGACGTTGGCGGATGGCGCCTTGCGCTTCCCGAGTACTGAAGCCATTTTGTCGTTTACTCCGGCCCTGTTTTTTCTCTTTTCGCTCTCGGAAATAGTGTCAGGTCGTGCGGTAGAAGAAAGCCGCAATTGAATCGTCAAAAAGGCCTTGGGAGAATGGGCGTCGGTGGTGCAGGATTCTGCTGAATGCAAAGACACAGAAAAAAAAAGCTATCGCCGCCCGGTGCAGAGACAGAGCGAGAGTGAGCTCCGAATTGAAATTTTAGCGGGTCCATGTAGCCTCGTCCGCCCACTTTTCATCCCTACCCCAATCCCAACGTCCTAACTGGCCTGGGCAGTAAGACACTGAAGACACTGGCGGGGCAGAGCTCTCAGCCTTGGTGGGATACATTCCGCCCCCCTAGGAAGAAAAAAAGGTACATCTCATCCTCACCGTCTCACGTGAAGCACAAAGCCCCAAACCTTCCTGCCAAACTGCTGCACTCCTACATCATGGGACGAAGTTTTCTCTAACAAGGCGCGTCCGCTGTGTACGTTGCCTTTCTACGTGTCACATCAAGCAAAAGTCTGTTCATGTGTGGGACGGCGAGAGGAATACGCAGAGAACAACAAAAAGTTGGAATGCCAAGAGACTGCCGGCGTCCAATGATGCTGAAACTTTTGTTGGCCTGTGAACTGGATGAAACGGACAACAACAGAAGAACTACGGATGATGTGGAGGGATGACTGTTTGATACGTTGGTGTCGCTGACGGGAAGAGACGACGAGATCGAATAGTTCCAGCGGCAACCCTGACACACATACACACGTATGCGCGCGCGCGTGCCCGCTGGGGGGGATCACAAGCGCCAAAGCTACGCTGCGCGCCCAATCGTCACCGAGGTCTCACCCAGAAGCAAAATCAGAAACGGAGGGAGAAGAAAAAGAACTAATAAACACCAAACTATACAGCTTTGACAAACACTGCTTGCTATCCATCCCAAAATCCCCCCGTTTTCATCACATCTTTTCCCCCACTGTCCACACACACCCCTCCCCTAGTTTAGGTAACACGCATTCGGGCAGCAGCATCAGCAGCATCAGCAGCGGCAGCAGCGGTAGTTGTAGTAACATCAAGGATGTGATGTGATCTAAAACCGCGCGGCTTCGAGCTCCAGCTCCAGCTGTCTGATCCTCTCGCTCTGGTCCTGAGATCCACCCGCGTTCACCTTGCGCTTCAGACCCTCCACCTCGGCCGACAGCTGGCTAATCTTGTCATTCTGCTTGCCGATGAGCTTAGTCTGCTGCTCCAGCATCTGTCGGATCTGGTCCAATGAGGACTCGATATGGCCCGAGGAGCTGGGAGAGGGGGCGGCCTGCTTGATGGGGGACGGTTGCGATGTGCTGGCGGGGGACTTGAAGGCAGGGGAGGCGGGCTTGATAGGAGAGGGGATCTTGGTGGCGTGCTCGACACGGGCAGGGGTAGCAGCAGCGGGCGCGGCGCGCTGAGCTGGTCTCTGCACCTCCTCGAAGCTCGAGTTGTCGTCTTCCACCTCCGGCTCGGCGGGCTCGTCATCCTTAAACTTGGACGCCATGTTGGCCATGGATGCACCCTGGTCCTTCATCGACGGAGGCGGCGAGCGCGAGACGGGCGCAGGCTCCGGCGCGGGGGCGGGAGCGGGCTTCGGCGCAGGCTTGGCGGCCGGCGTGGGGGCCGAGGCGATCGTAGGGGGCTTGTAGTCGGCGACGACCTCCTTTGGCGCAGTTCCCTCGTACACGCTCTCGAGGTCGATCTTGTTGGGGATGCCGTCCTTGCCCTCAAGCCACTCCTTGGCGCTGACAGCAGGCTTGAGGCCGGTGGCAGGAGGGAAGATGTCGGACTGGAAGGTTTCGGCTCTGCGGGGAACAGTGAAGGAGATGGGCTCGATGTAAGTGTCGTTGACCGTCTTGTAAGCGCGCATAACCTCGTTCTCATGGACCTGCTGGAGTCAGACATTGCGCCGCTGCTTGAAAGGCTGCATGAACTCACGTTAATTCCACGCCTGGGAACAAAGGCAATTCCTCTTTGGGGCTCCGCAGACTTGTACTCGCTGAGGAACTCAAACTTGTCGTTCTCGTACTCAAAGTAACGAATGTTGCCGTCACTGCAGACGCGTCAGCAGGGCTTTCACCTTCAACAAAGCACCACACCAAATCACTCACCCCTTTCCAGCAAGGTACAGGCAGTTGGATCCCTCGTCTGTACAAAGTCAGCACTTCAGCAATGGACAATCAGAAGACAGCACCAACCCCAGAAGGGCATGCAGACACCCGAAATGGAGTCCAACATGGTAAATCCTCCAATAGGCTCGTTGCGGCCAGGCTCCCACAGGGCGATCTGACGCTCGCTCATTCTCGAGAAACCGCAAGTCGCGAAACGGTTGTGCTCGCCCATCCACACAGCTCTGCTGTTCTTGGCGCCCGGGTGGCCAGGCGCCTCGTGGACGGGCTTCTCGGCGCGCACATCCCACACGCGGATCTTCTTGTCGCGGGAGGTCGTGACTAGCAGGCTGCCGCTGGCGTTCCAGGACAGACTCTGCACGATGTCATTGTGCTTCAAGGAGTGGGTGGACTGGCCGGTGCCAATGTCCCACAGCTTGATCGTGAAGTCGCCGGACGCGGACGCGAGGATGTTCTCGGCGGCGGGGTTGAAGAGGACCTGACCAACCTTTCTGTACGTCTAGCAGTCAGCAACTATAGCTCACAGGGGGGTGATTGGTTTCGTGGCGCGACGAACCTCGAGTGACCGGCGAGCTTGCTGACGGGAGAAACATGGCCGGGCTCCTCGGCATCCGTGTAAAGGGTGAAGTTCTCGGGAACCTCCCAGATGAAGACCTTTCCGTCCTCAGAACCGGAGGCGATGATGCGGTCGTTGAAGGGGTTCCTGGCACGTGAGCCGTCAGCATGTCGCGTGCGCTTGAGGCAGGTGTAGGGGGGGCAGGGCGGTCGCGGGATCGGCGTACCAGTCGGTATCCAAGACGGTGGCGGTATGGCCTCGAAACAGCGGGATCTGGTCGGGGAGCTTTCCCTTCTCGCCGAGGGGGATGACGGCGAAGGCGCCGCCGCCGCCAGCTTCCCAATTGACCGAGAGGTATTCGGGGTTGGCCTAGCAGTAGGGAAAAGTGTCTCGTCAGCTTCTTTGCGTCTCTTCAATTTCGCGGGCGACCCATTGACGTGTCTCGGGCCCGACGACCGTAGAAGAAAAAAAAAAGTCGAGTTCCCCCTTACCTTCACCAGGTTGGTATCCCACGCATTTCGGCTAATGTGAAGGTTGTCGTAGCAGAACTCCTTGCGAGTCGGCTTTCCAAAGACGTGTCCTGTGTAGAGAGAGGTCGGGCGTCAGCAGTCAGCTCCTCGCAGCGCAACGCGGGCGGTTGCGACAAAGGGGATGACGGAGAGAGACCCACGATACTTCGACGCTCGTACAAAGCGGCCCGCCATATGGAATGATGTATTATGTTAAACGGGTATGGAAAAAGCGGGAGTGAGTCGGGAGAGGGAGGGAAGGGGTATCGCAAAGATGCAGACGATAGACGATAGAGAATGCTGTGTGCAAAAGGCCAAGGCCTGCGACGAGTTTTGGTGATCCAAAAGCAAAAGGGGACGACGAGGACGACGACTGGGAACGCGGAGGAATCGATAGCTACAGTTAGCATTACCTTACCTCAAGGTACACTAGTGTAGTGTAGAGCTGCCCGTTGTTCCTCCCAATGGCGGGCCCGGCGGGACCTTGACAGATGAGTGTGGTGCTGCTGGTTCCATCCGTAGCACCAGGGTACCTTATTTCAGGTACCTTTTCCACCCACCTCACTGGACCTGCCTCTTCTGCCTTCCCGCCGCTACGAGGAGCGACACTGGAGCGACATTGCTGCTCATTGCGCCCATCCCGCCGCCCCGTCACTCACAGGCTCGCAACCAGCCCGCTGCCCACGTCCAAGGAGCTACGTACCCACTTCCACTTACTGAAGACGTCCAGCGCTGGAATTACAGATGGATACCTTGCGTGAAACTCCCCCGGGCCAGCTGCGCCTCCGTGGCTCCCCTCCACTTACAGCCAAATGATGGAGCAAGGGTCCAGCCAAGTTCTCAAGTTCATGCACATCACGCCTGTGCTGCACGTGATCCTTTTCCTCACCGAGGTGAGAGGCTGCATGTCGCGTCGACTTTATCACGACAACCACCACCAATCCGCGCATGTCAAAATGATATAAACCTCCCATTTTAGTACTACATCATACGTACACCTAAACGGGAAACCCGACTCCAGAATAATGCTTCCAGAGACCGCGTACGAATCTAGTAGGAAAAGAGAAAAAACCACGTAGACAATGACTCTCACAATCTCCGGAACTTCCACCCGTTGCTTGCTTGCTTGCCTTCCAAACCATGCCCAAACGCCGTCCTATCAGCCAAATTATTAAACATTGGGGCGAGAGTGCGCGAGGCAGACGCAAGCCATCTTTTTTCGGTCAAGAGCGGACGAGACACATGATCATCCGATCACGAACACCTGGTCCAAGAGAATCATAGATCATGCCGTGTCTCCCGTTCCTTCGTCCTCGTCCTCTCCGATCGTCCCGGTCATGCCAAAATCATAAAGAAAAGAAGGGGGTATCGCTTTAGTTGAATGTGCTCTTGGTCCGCGAGTGCACCCGCCGGCCCTCTGCCCGACGTCGCAGCGCATCCTCTCTCTTGAGCACGAGCTCGCACCACTTGCCCTTGCTGCGAGGTCCGTCGTCGCCCTCGCCTCCACCCTCGGGTCGACCGACGACGTCCGTGAGCGCTTGCATCCAGCCCTCCTTGTCCTCGGCCGTGTCGGCGTAGAAGTCGATGAGCTCGCCGTTGTTGAAACGGATGCGGAAGCCCTCCTCGACGAACATGTAGCCTTCTTCTTCTTCGGCAAAGGCAGACCTGCGGCGACGGCCACCCTTGCCTGTCGTCTCCTTCTCCGTCAATGCGCGTCGATCGTCAATCAGGCGCTTGGCATTGGCGAGGTTGATGGTCGCACGGGGCTGACGGGTTGCCTCGTG